TTTTTTTTTTTTTTTTTTTTTTTTTTTATAGAGAAAACAATGTTATTCCAATCGAAATCGATTCCAAACAGTTCCATAATATGTGCCCTAAATTCTAATAACTTCAACCGAAATTTTGGTGTGATCATATTTCACTAGATATTTAGTTAATTTGTCCGTGTAGGACATTATAGAATATTATAGGATATTATAGAATCGTGTTAGGTTAGGTTTCCGAAACCACATGTTTTGTGAATTTGTTTGCAATGTTTTGTAAACATTCAGTTTTCTTCATCATAAGAGAAAAACAACTTATCGAGTCACTAATATGGCTTAATATACGAAGAAAATATTGTAGTAAAAATTAAATTTAAATTGTATATTTTATTTTCAGTCTTTTTTTTAATAGACTGTACTGAAATTCTAGTATAAATTACTATAGCAAATAAAGTATTGTAAATTAGAAATAATAGATATAGTAAAATTAGAAATAACGAAACAAAGCCTAATTAAGAACCACAATACAGGTGTAATAATGTTATCATAGACTAACTGTATCAAAATTTGTTAATAACTGTCCCTGCAGATGTTTAGGGGAAAAAAATTCTTTGATTAAATAAAATATGACCATACACGTTTCAGCTTCCTTAATGGGCCCTCCTCAGTGGTAAATAATATTAACATAAAAACCTCAAAGATAAAAAATATACAAATAAAAAGCTTCAAAAAGGTGAAGATGTTAAATGACTACCGGTGGCAACGCAAATATTCGACGCAATTAACAGCGCATTATAAAAAACGCAGCTACAATTATAAATAAAATAGTAAATAACTAAAGCTCAACCGTCACAACCAAAAATTGTCATAAATTAAAATGTTAAGCCGGATCGCTGCGTGTCGGTGGATGCAGCGGATAGGGGTTAACCGATAAGAAAGTCTAAAATTTTGCAAGAATAAAGGTGAAAAAACGGAATTACAACTGTGTAATTCAAAGACATATCTGATTAATACCTTATGTCAAATTACATATTACCTTTATCCGGGTTTTTGGTTGCGACAGTTGAGGTTTAGTTATTTACTATTTTATTTATAATTGTACCTGGGTTTTTTGCGATGCGCCGTTAACTGCATCGAATACTTGCCATCGGTGATCATTTAACATCTTCATCTTTTTATTTTTATCTTTGAGATTGTTTTGTTATGTATTACTGAGGAGAGCTCATTAAGGGGGCCAAAACGCGTATGGTTGTACTTTATTTAGTAAAAGAATTTTTTTCCTTTAAACATCCGCGAAAACAGTTACTAACAAATTTTGATACAGTTGTCTACTCTTATAGAAATATCATACTAAGAATCATTAATAATTACTTATTATCCAGTATTTTTAATACTGAAAATAAGTAATTATCAATGATTCTTAGTATGATATTTCTATAAGGGTATGATAACACTATTACACCTGTATTGTGTTTCTTTATTAGGTTCTCTCCGTTATTTCTAATTTTATCAATAAGAACCTTTAATTTTTTCATAGTAAAATTAATATATTATATTAATAAAATTAATATAATATGTTAATAATAATAAATTATTACAGTGAAAAAAGTAAATTCGACGATATATTTGATATTTACAATATAAAAATATTCAAACAATTACAATAATTTTATAATAACAAGTTAAATGTGTATATATAATTTTCAACGAATATAATATAGTAATTTCGATTACAATTCTGTATGGTCCAAAATTACAAAAATTTAGTTGTAATTTGTATTACAATATTTTCTTCTTATAAATATTCCATTAAAAATGAGTATATGTTGATTAATCAAGGGGATAAATATTGAGAAAGGAAGGGACGGAGGAAAAGAAAAAAATTTTATTTTGTCAATCGAATATTCAAAAATCCTATGTGGGAAAAAAAAATTTCATTAATACTTATAAATTAATACTTTTAATAAATTAATACTTATAAAAAAAATTTCATTAATACTTATAAATTTCATTAACTGAATTTTCCATTGCTTGATAAGAATAGTAATGAGATGAAAAACTCGGTTGTAGGGACAGAAAGATTCCTGTAGGAGGTTTTCTACTCAGTCAATTGTTCTCATTGTTATTGCAACCAAGTTTTAATCCAGCTAAATGTCCAGACAAATGTTCTCGGCTGTGGTAACAGAGATATCATTTCATGCCGTTGATTTTTCATCTAGTCTCTGTTCATTTATACGAACTGAGATTTTTCCTATGTAAATGTGGTTGCCGAGTTGAAAGCGTGTTTTCTATAGATTTGTTTTTAATGTTTCATGAATATTATAGAACCGTCTTCATTGTGATGTTCTAATCATGCGCGATATTAGATTTGTTTGCGTTGCTTGCACTTTTGATTCTTTTACACTTATATAAATTAATTATATAAATTAATTTCTAAAAAGAGGTCATTATATACTAACCTCTTTTTAGAACTCTCATTGAATTTCGTTCATCGTGTCTGGTGTGCAACGGGAATTAGGTGCAAAAATATCAAAAGTGCAAGCAACGCAAACAAATTACACATTTAACGTATGATACAGGAATATAAATCGAACTATAATCCATTAATAGATGTATAAATGATAGATATGAACGATAACGCGTATTATTCGTTAAAGAAATACTCGTTATTTAGGAACAACCCAGTCAACATGCTTGTTTCAAAAAACGGCACATTAGGTAACATTTTGTTATTGTTCCGACAGCTTTTCGGTATTTCTTCATGTTATCAGATTCCAGATTCAGATATCTTTTAGAGATGTTTTTAATAACTTTTTACTCAGTAGAAATCTGGTCGTCCGAGGCAGCACGATCTTGTGGGATACCGTAGTAATAGATAAAGGGAAAGGTCGTCAGCTTTACGGTATTTAGCATTTACGTAAAATTTCACTGTTTAATGATATAGGCCGACGTCAATTTTGATCCTCAGAGTGTTGTAATTAATTCTGAAGTTTTTAACGCACTGAAACAAATTCGCTGTCAAAATTACTCCATCACGTCAGGTTTTAAAGATATCCTATAACTATAAATGTACCAAAAAGACTATATTTTATTATATATATATATATTTTTTTTTTAATTACTTTTTAAATTAAAATAAGTCTAAAACGAAAAGGGATAGACTGATTTGGTTACTGCAAATTCAGCATGAAAAAAAATATTAAAATTAATCTTTTTATATTCAATAAATACAACAAATACTGCATACACATCTATTAAACATTTTATAGTCTTTAATCCTTTGCAATGCGACGGTACACTAGTGTATACCATAATATATTCCTTATTTATATTCTAGTAATTTTATATACGTAACTTTATATACGATACTTAAAACTTCAATAAATAAATAAGTATATAATTTTAAATGTCTTATCTTTTTATATAAATAAATATTTAAATGTTTCTGGAACTACAAGCGTGCATTCAAGAATATAAAAAGTTTTGCATAGGTATTTGTTTTCTAATTTATTGAATGTAACCATTGATTTTAATCAATTTTTCCTGTCGCTTCTCGTTTCAAACTTATTCTAATATAAAAATAACAAAAAATAGCTTCTTGGCATTTTAAATTAAAATATCTCAAAAACTTGGCATGATAGAGCAGTTTGAACAACGGGCTTGGTTTTAGAGTACCAAAAACCTTCAGGATTATCTGGGAGTCAGAGCAAAAGTCAAAATTTGTTGGCCTGTATAATCTTCTGTCGATAAATTTTGTGTCAACTCAGCTTACGCGGAGAAAATATTATAGTCAAAATTAAAATTATATTTCTCTTTGCAATTTTTGTAAAACTGGGTTGCAATATAAATTACTGCAATATAAAATAGTAAATTGCTGAATTGCAATATAAAATAAATTTGACGATCTACTGAATATGTCACTTAGAAAACATTCAATTACACAATAATTCTGTACTAAAAAGTCAAACACACATACGTAACATTTTTTAATAAATATATAATAATTTTTATTATTATTATTCTATGTCCTAAAATCAAAAAATTTTGTTGTAA